ACAGTAGTCATTAAACGCTTGTGAGGTAAATTCACCAGCATTGTCAAGGCGGATAGTCTTTAGTGGGAAGTCAGGGAAATGGGCCCGCAATTTTATGATTTGGGCCAAGAACCTAGCGAAGGCTTGGTTCCGAGAGGACAAGAGACAAACATATGACCAACGGGTCGATGCGTCTATAAGGACCATGAAGTACCGGAATGGTCCGGAAGATGGATGTATAGGTCCACAGATATCGCCCTGGATTCTTTCTAGGAAATGAAGTGTTTGTTTAGAGATTTTAACTGGTGAAGGCCGAGTGATCAATTTGCCTTGAGAACAAGCTGTGCACATGAGGTGTTGAGGATAAGCTCGGTTTTCTTTGAGGGTATGCCCTTGAGAGTTTTGAATTAGTTTACGCATCATATTTGCACCGGGATGACCGAGCCGGTCGTGCCAAATAGTATAATCAGTAAACCGGGCTTTGAGAGTGGTATTAGCTTCAATCATACTGACTTTAGCATGGTAAAGTCCAGTAGAGAGCGCGGATATGGTTTCGAGGATTTGTTTATGGCCGTCTACGGTTTTAGTGACTAGGAGGGATTCTTTGTTCCCTTGACCTTGGGTTTCTATGTGGAAACCATTCTGTCTTATATCCTTGAAGCTCAGAAGATTTCTCTTCGAACTAGGAGAATATAGAGCATCTGGTATTTCAAGTTGTGTGCCATTTGATAGCAACACATAGGCATGGCCATATCCTTCGATAAGGTTTGAGGGACCCGCGATGGTGCTAATATTTGCGGTTTGATAGGTTAGGTTTATGAAGTAACTTTTGTTTCTTAAGATAGTGTGGCTGGATCCACTATCTACGACTATGGTTTCTATTTGCTGGTGTGCTTCATTATGAATAGAAGATAGAATTCAGTATTGAGGAATTCAGAAAATGTGATAAATCATAAAGTAAAGCAGTGTCTGAGAATAAAGGCAAATGGAAAAAAAAATGAAACAAATCCCAAAATGAAAAAAATAAAGAACAAAATCAAATTGTATCAGAGTTTCAGATGATTGAATTAATCGAGAAGATCAGCTGTTTCATAGTCCATGGGGTCGGTCTGCTCGTTTGTGGTGTTCTCATCATCAAGGAAGTCGTCACCTTCCAGGTTAGCAGCATCGACTGGCTGAGTCATGTTGGCTTCAGCAGGAGCTTTTCCGTACTTCTGGTATAGATCGCAGTGGATCTTGGGGGTGCGACATTGCTTTGTTGGGTGGTTGAACATCCCACATCTGGTACAAGCAGAGTGATCGGGGTTGGTGTGGCGGGTCGGCTTGGTGATGCCTCGACCACGACCAGGACCATAACTGAGGTTAGGTCGGTTGCCACGACCATGTCCGCGTCCACGTCTTCCACGTCCATGTCCTCGGCCATTACCACGTCCATTACCACGTCCACGGCGGTGATCTGAGGATCTATCGGGTTGAACATGGTAGGACTCTTGACGAGAAGCTGGGACAGGAGCCGATCCCGGGGGCCTCATAGCGCTGTTCCTCATAAGCAGCTGGTTATTCTTCTCAGCGAGGAGAAGACAGGACAACAAGTCTTCGTACAATGTGTGTTTCATTGCACGGTATTGTTGTTGGAGCACAACATTCTCTGTGCTGAATGTGGATAATGTTTTCTCGAGAAGATCATTATCTGTCACATCCTCGCCACAGAGTTTCCGGATGGCAACAATACGAAAGAGTTCGTTGTTGTAATCATCTACGGATTTGTAGTCCTGGAACCGAAGGTTCTTCCAGTCGAAATCTGCCTGAGGCAACTGGACCATTTTTTGATGGTCATATCGCTTTTTCAGCGCTTGCCACAATTCAAGTGGATTCTCAAGAGTGAGATATTGCTGCTTAAGGCTCGGGGCCAGATGATGGCGTATGTGACATATCGCCTGAGACTGTCCCTTACGGGATGCGGTGTTACCGTCGGTAATACACGCATCGAGTTCTTTCGATGCAAGGAACAAGCGCATGTCTAGGGCCTACTCGAGGTAGTTATCCCCGGAGACGTGAAGGGCCTCGAATTCACATTTCTGAATGTTTGACATCTGAAACATGAGATTGATTTTGTTAGGGATTGTTTTGAGAAAATTTTGAATGCTGATGATGAAACTTTCTATTTTGAGAATATTTCTATTTTAAGAAAGTTTCTAAATTTGGAAAGTTTCTAATTTGGGTAATTTTCTAAATGAGGAAAGTTTCTATGTCGGGAAAATTTCTATATGAGGAAAGTTTTTATATGAGGAAACTTTCTATTAGAGGGAACTTTCTCGGAAATAGTAAATTTTAAAGGGTATGGTTTTAGTTACCCCGAACATGATGTCGGTTTAATAGCTGTGATTTAATCGGTTAAAGCCGAATATAATTTCGGTTAATGAGAACCAGGTTTAGCCGGTTTTAGGCGGTTTAGGAGGAACCCTAGGGGAGCCGAATATGATTAGGGTTTTATCTAGGGTTTTAACGGTTTGGAAAACATATTTTGGATGTGATTTCGAGATCTATAGGATCTGTGGTCGATGGTTTTAATAATTTCACAAGGACAACAAAGAAATCACGTGAAAATGACTAGGGTTTAAGCATTATGACTTACGATTTTGAAGATTACAAAATCGTGAATCAAGCTTAGGATTTAGGGTTGATTTTCTTAGTTTATTCAATCAAGTGTTTCAAGCAAGAGAATCAACAATCAAAATAAGCTGCAACAAGCTTATTAAACATGAAGAAAATCGAATAGGTTTATGCCATAAACATGGCCAAAAACGGTTGTTAGGTTTTTGTAGATTAGGGTTTTATAAAACGAGTTTAAAACCTTTGAACATGCATAAACTTGTAATTTAAACAATCAATCAACAAGTTATCAATCAATCATCAGAGTATCAAACACTTTCAATCAATTAGAGATCGATTTTTTTTTTTTTTTATAGGGTTTTGAAGTGTTTAAACAACAGGTTCTATGGCTCTCAGTTTTAGAAGATACCTTTTCCACCTTTGGATTTCTGACAGGCTAATGAAACTGGGAGCTAATAGACCTCAGTTAGCCGCTACAAATTCCAAGGATTGATCACCAAAACTGGAGAAGCTGCTGATTGAAGAAGGAAAAACTCGGATCTGGTTTTTTTTTTCGGTTGATCGTCGTGTACTGTAAGTGTGCGTGAGGGCGCGTCCGACGTTGGATCGACAAACGGTTTTCACCAGTAGATTCGTCTCGTCGAGGGCTTCGATTTGATATGTAGATCGTCTTCTGGTTCCTCACGGTTTGGAAGATATGCGTCTTTTAAGTTTCGACTTGCTTTTAGGGTTTTGGTGGTGGCCGGATTTATTAGGGTTTTTCGCTCAGAGAGTCTTATCGTGCTGATAACGTGTTGTGAAAACTTAGAAACTTTATTAATCACTGGAATGTATATATAGAGTACATAGGGAATCTAGGTTAAGTACAATGCCCTGATGGGCCTAATGGGCCGGTATAAGAGTCCATATATGATATGTGTTATAACACTTTTATAGTTATTTACCAATTAATTTATTTTTTAGCAAGCACAATACAGTACATTTGATTAAAAACTCTATCACATATACAACAAGAAACTGTTGCATTCACACACCTCCTCTTTCTATCTGGAACTCTAAATTTTTTCCTCTCTTTCTCTCTAAAATAGCTAAAAACACACTAACAAAAATCTCTCCTTCAAACATTCTCAAATCAGATTCACTAAACAAACCATGATACTGAGGTTCATATAAGAACTAATATTAATTATGAAGTATCCTTGAGTCTTTGTACATGTCAGACTAATTAGTCACACCATTATATGTGCTTAGATGTTTCAAGTGATCTCCAGTCTTGACAAACATATATCGATATTCACATACTTTCTTAATCCATTTGCTTTCTATCTCTCCCAGGCCACATTTAAAATTTAATAAAGTACTTCACTATTAACTAGTCATTCACTCAATTTTTTATTTTTTTTGGTCGACAGATTGTCATTCACTTAAAACCCCTGTTCAAAAACTCGGCCGCTTAGCCGCCTAGTCGGTCGCCTAGGCGCTAGGTGATGGGTGATCGCCCCGACTAGGTGCTAGGCGACGGTTCTAGGCAGTTCTCCGATTTTTCACCGCTTAAGACCGCCTTGGACCGTCTAAAACCGCCTAAAACCGCTTAAATCCTATTAAAAAATAAATTTGTCGCCTAATTTTTAAAAATCAACCTAAAAAATTTCAAAATTTTAGAAATTGGCCCAATTTTATTAATAAAATTTCCATATTTTCTTTTGAAATCGGCCTAAAATCAGCCCAATTATTTTTCTTTCCCAATTAAAAACGACATCACATTCAATACTTTACCAATTAACGATTTTGACGACTTAATCCCTAATTAACAATTTCAATTCAACTAAATTACAATGAAATGAAATCAAAATCAAATATAAGCGAGTTTAAATTCCAAAATCATCTAAAAAAGATTAATATAAATAATTAAAAATTAAATATAATATAAATTAATCAAAAAATTAATCACCAATAAATCAGCGATTAATCACCGATTTTCGACCTAGGCGCTAGTCAGAACCCGTCCGCCCACCTACCGCCTAACAATTTTTTGAGCACTGCTTAAAACTGTTAATAGAGAGCTATTCTGTTAATTATAACAATATATGATTCCTAAAAAACATGTTCAAATGAGCAAATGATGTCTGGCTCTCTAAATTACTTTTGAGTTACATCTAATCCTATGCCAACACGTGTCCGACACTTTCCCACTACTCATGCGACTCATTTTCTCTTTCTTGGTCTTTCTCTTTTCTTTTGTCAAGAAAAGAAGAAGAAAGAGTTATTATTGTAAAAAAAAACAAAATTATTAGGAAAAAGTACCATCAATATTTTTACTACTGTCTGACCAAAATACCCTCATGTGGAGTCCATAAATATGGGGCTCCAACAATGCAATTCTTCCCTTTTCCCCTTCTAATCTCACTCACATCTCTACATTTAGAGAGATTGGTTTCTTTTAATTATCTTTCTTTTTTGTTTGTTTGAGCATTAAAACCATGATGTCTACTATATCTCCGGTTTTCTCATCTGAACCGTGTCTAATAAACCCTGCCCCAGCTTTCGAAACCGGGTTCACTCCATGGGACATTTCACACCTCTTCTCGGTCTTTGACACACCAATCGATCTAGTACCAGACAACGAAAGCCCTGTTTCGGATAATAATTATCTGAACCGGGCCAGTTCAGACATTGCTCCTACGGATAAAACCGATGATCGGAGGAAGAAACGGAAATTATCGAACCGGGAATCGGCTAAGCGGTCAAGGGTGAAGAAACAAAAGCACTTGGAGGAGATGAGTATCCAGCTAAACCAGCTCAAGATTGAGAACCGGGAACTAACGAACCAGCTTCGGTACGTTTTATACCATTGTGAACGAGCAAAGACGGAGAATGATCGTCTACGTTTGGAGAACCGTATTCTCCACGACAAGTTGTTGAACATCAGACAAGTTTTGATATTTTGTCAGATCGAACGCAGCTCAAACTGTGCCTCGTGGCCTTATGATAATAGTACTGTTGTTACGGTCCAACAGGATCCGTCGGTTATAACATGTTCTAGTTTGAGAACACCTTTGTAAAAATGTTTTTAAGAAATTGCATGGATGTCTTATAACGTTAGCAAACTAAACTTTCGATTTCTTATATATATTCCGTATGATTACAAAATTAATCATATTGCCGTGTTTAAACTTTTCAACAAAGAAAAGGGTTACTGGCAGAATGTGTCGAGAACTTTTTTTTCTTTTTCAACTGGTTCTTTTTTCACACTTTATTTTAATAACTTCGTTGAAATATAACTTTTATTTCATCATTTCGTATATATATATCCAAGATATAGCACAAATGATTTAGACCATTAGATGATAGTTAAATATTAATGTTTAACATTTGTAAGTCATATAAAGCTCTGACAATCGATTATATATTGATCAAGGTCTAGTTAAATCTTTGATCATCATTCCTCAAGGCTCAAGGTGAAAAATAAGAGAATTATGTTAGCAGAATTAGCCATATTTCAAGCATGAGATCTAAAACGTCACACAAGAAACATTCATGAGTTGTTTTGCATGAGATTCCATAGCTGGCTTTCTACAGATAAGAGAAAAACATTAAACTATTCCCGGAGAAAGGATTAATTGACGCGTGCGTCGAAACAAAATACACGGTCTTTGCTAATATAGAGTAATTTGTGGTCTAAAATATAGAAGAGACGATAATTATGTCCTAATTAAGTCTTTTACAGAAGGAGGTCGAATTCAAATTTCCGGTCGACATCTTCTCGACAGTCCTAATCACTCAACCTCATTAATTACCTTAAGTTAAGTACAACTGTTCTGGTCTTTCCTAATGCCTGGGTTTAATTCAAGCTTTTTTAAAATCAGCTTCGTAGTTCCTATTAATACAATATATAGATATTTAAACATTAATATATGTCGAACATGATTTATAGGATGCATTTCGGTCCATCTTAAGCCACTAAAAGAAAAACAATAGGCATAAAATTAATTAATAATTGTAAGATGACATGACAATTTTTCACTATATGTTGAGTTCGATTTACATGGTACAAAAGTAGATGCACAGGCGATGAATTAAAAGTTCGGTAGATGATGAAGATGATTTGATGACTAAATAGATCCATTAAATCATGTACCAACCACACTTAGTTAAACCCTATATTAACTAAATTATATATACTTAAACACATAGAAAAGCACGCGTCTGTGTATATACATATGTATATTCATATATATTTAGGAGCGGCAGTTTAGCGTATTTAAAAGTATGTATTCCTTCATTTTTATTTCCAAAATGAAAGAAAAGTTGGATTTCTTTTCAATGTATTTCTTAATTTTCAACTCCAAAAAGAATATTTTTAGTATATTTTTTATTTTTATTTTATTGTTAATTATTAATAATGCATTTTATTTATAAAAATTATAATAAATCTATTTTTTCAATTAAAACTTCTATAAATTATAATATTATTTTAAATTCAACTATTATAATATACAAATAAAACTATACACCATTTAAAATTATAAAAAAAAATACATTTTAACTTTATGTATTTTTTATGTATTTTAAATTTTATGTTATTTCTAGTTTCAGTTAATCTTTTTAATTTTTTATTTTCTATTCTCAAATTTTAAATCTATTTATCTTTAATTTTAAATTAAATATATAAATAATATAAAGGATTAAATTATAAATAAAAATATAGTTTTAAAAATTAATAAAAAGTAAAAGAATATCTTGTAAATAAAAAGTTCATCTGTAAAATGAAGTTGAAAATGAGGTTATCTTATATTTGGAGGAAAAAATAGCATTCTTCTGTAGGGTTGAAGAATAATTTCCTACAAAATGACGTTTGGAGGAAAAAATGGGATAGGGTTGGAGATGCCCTAATCTTTCATAAGGAAGCTCCGCATGATAATTATAATTTTAATGTTATTAAATTGAAGGATTAAAATCAATAATACAAAATTAACTAAAATTAGAAATACTAATATCGATTTGTTTTAATGCATGGGCATTATGATTAAGAATGAAAGTTGCGGCCATTATTTGATTTAGATAAACAAAGATTATGGTGTAAATCATGACACGTGTCGACGCCACTCGTATCTTTAAATTTTATATAGTTAGCCCTTTGTTTTTCGCTCCTAAATGTCTGTCTTCCACGATAAGACATTGAGTCGGCTTGATTGTCAACATTTTAGCTAAATGAATGGTTGTAATATATAGTTAAGGTTTCGTATGCATTTGAATTAAATGGTGTAACACTTTCTGTGTGTTCACAAAAAGTGTTTTTTTTTTTTGTCTAACTGTTTCACAAAAAGTGTTATTTTAAGATTTTATTTTTGTTTTACAAAGAATGTTATTTTATATGTTTAATACATAATCTTAAACAAAAATCCAATTTTATTTATTTTTTTTCTATGTACTAATTAGAAAAATTAAATTGTTGAATGTATTATGTCAAAATAACACTTTTTATAAAATAGAAAGAGTAACTAATTAAACAAACGAAAAAATCAAATGTAATTCACAAAATCATACAGAATAATGGAAGAAGCTATACAACAAACAGTTTATTTGAGATCTTTCTTTTGTAATTTTATTGGCCGTCACTTTTGGTCTTTCCACTTTGGAGGAAAGAAAAGAAAGATAAAAAGCGTAAATAAAAATCTGATTTTGATCTTTAGACAAGTTGAGATATTTTACTGAAGATAATTTTGGAACCTTTTACACGACCTTGTAATTTGACGACAGATGGGGAGTTGAGAGCTATAAAGTCATTAATTTGAATACCCTTTTATATTCATGATAAGACGCTTTATTAATGCATGATATATTCACATTTATTAAAAGTTTAAAACACACAAAAGCAAAATACAGTAGTCAACAAGAGTCAATAAATATCTTAAACTGAATAAAACGATTGCATCAAAATTATTCTCTAACACAAGGAGCTTTGCAAGAAACAAGAGACTTAAGAGTACTATTCCCTTTAGACATAACCTTATCATCGTCAGTTTCTACATCACTCGTACACTTTCTCAACGCAATAAGAAAAGGATCATCTTTCTCTTCTCGTCTCTTTCCTGCTTTTCTCCATTTCATCATACAAGATTTCACTAACGAGGAAGATCTAACCAACCGTTTTGATAACGGATATGGTGGTGGCAAAGGTAGCAATGTTGGTACCGCAATTTTATTATCAACATTTGACGTCATGTCTATCTCTAACCCATCTTTATTAGATAGCGATGATGAAACTTGAGGAGATGATGACAATTGCAACTGGTTTTCGTGAGAGAACATGTTATTAATTTTATTAAGTGATAGATTAGTGATCTATAGATGATAAGATTTGAAAAAAAAAGCTAATTAAGAAGGTTTTGATAGGCTTGCGAAGTATATATACGGGTGTTACGTTTTGAATGGGGTTGAGACATGATAAAGGCATGAACAATAGAAAAGAATAATTAGGGATGAGACATGCTTGTTGATGTTTATGGTTATTGAATTAAATTTTAGAAGACCATGCATGTGTCTTTATTATTCACATTCATTACAATTCATACGTTTGAGTTTTCTTTTTGTTGTTGGTTAAATTCATACTTTGGAGTACATTCATTAGTCCATAAATTGTCTAAGTATATTATAAGATCACACTTTGGAAGCTAACACGTCACAAATATTATATGTATTGTTAGTGACGATATTGTGTTTCTTTGAAGATGACTTTTTATAGCTTATTTTGATCTTATATAGGGACATGGTGACTTATTTCTTCTCGAAAAGGAATATTTAACAATTAATTTCGGGTTCAAAGAGATTATAAACATTAACAAAGATATGAACTTCAATTTTTTTTTTTTTTTTTTTTTTTAATATGAACTTCAATTTGATTGATCGCTGCAATTAACAGACAAATTCCAATAGACATGCTTGTACTTGTAAACAAACAAAAGATAAACAACCTAAGAGGTAGGCCCAAGATCTTATATGACCATTGCACCGAGCTTTACAATCTTATAAATGGGCTACAAATGGGCTGACATGTAAAATGACATCGAGTGGTTTATACATTCCAACTACTATATATTGAGTAAATGTCAACCATTAAATATACAATTAATTCTCTCAATTGGACTTTCACCTCTATATGATTAAAAAACATTACTATTGTTAATGAAAAGTGAAATAGTGTAAAGCACTAAGGACCACCTCACGAAAATTTTGGTGAAATTGCTTTAGTGCCCATTTTCAACTCGCAATACCAAGAACACATGGTTCGAAATTACTGGACCAGAAATCCTAACAACAAATATTTAATATTAAATTCAGTGGATACCATTACCATGAACATGTTTTTTGACTAAAATCTAAAACTCTATTAAAAAAAGGAAGATTAATCTAGGCATTTAGCACACGATAGATACTGATACAGTCCACTCCAATATTATTCTGTTTTTTTTTTTCGGCCACTTCAGTATTATTCAATAAATATATTTCAAAGCAAAACTTTCATTCTCATTCTTAAAAAAAAAAGTGTTGGTGACTTACTAAGGAGAACAATTCTAAAAGTTCCCGAATTAATGTCAGTTGATCAGATCTTCACACTGTAAGAAAATGGATGGCATGATTAATATTTAAGCATGAGTGTTGGTGGTATACATTTATACAATAATTAAAGTTGAAAAACAGCAGTATAATTACATCAGACCCAACATATAATCAATTCAATAATCTCCTCAATTAAATTCTTCCTTTTATCTTACGCACACTTGCTAACGCGTGCTGTAATATCAAAAATTCTCTCTGTCAAAGGGAAATTGCACATTTAAATCCTCAACTATTTGCAATCGGCACAAAAAATACCCAACTATCAGAGTGACAAAATAATTCCTCAAGTTGTCGTTGACCACGCAAATTAGGGATTAATGAAATCAATAGTTAACTCTCTTAACGGGCATCGTTAGTATTAATCTCGTTCTAATTTTTGTCATCGGGATTTCATTAGTTTGAACCCTAAAAAGCTCCAAGTAGAAACCAAAGGCGATTTCCGGCGAAGCTTCAAACCTGACTCCGGCGAGTTACAACAGCGATACGATTCAGAAGAAACAAGCTTTTTCATCAACAATGGTTAAGACTATGTGGAAAAGAGGCGGAAAGAAGCTTCCAGTTCGAAGAAATCGAGAACCAGAACCCGAACCTGATCCTCTGAGGTAATTTCCAACTTTGCTTGTGAATTTTGATTAATGAAAACTCGTGTTTAGAATAGAGAATTTCGATTGTAGGGTAACTGATGAAGAAACGAATATGGGTTTAGAAAGAGATAATGTTGATGGAGAAATGGCTACCAATGTTGAAAACCCGGCGAATGTGTGTTTGGAAATTGTGTGCTATGATAAAGAGAGAGTAGCTAGTGTAGATGAAGAGAGAGTAGGTCGTGCAGATGAACCAGAAGGAGGTTCTGCTGATGAACAGGAAGTTGCAGATGTTGAGAAAAATCTAGAAGAGTCTGATAAAGATTCATCGGTCGAAGGAGATGATTGTCCAGTAATTGTTGAAGACACTGCAGGATATAGAGAGAGTGAGCCAGCTTTGGCTGAAAATCCAGAGGATAATGATCCTGAAGAGGAGCTAGTCAATGTGCAAATATGTGAGGATGATGAATGGTTTTCGCATTTTGGAGAAGGTGCCCCTGAAGATGGAAATGGTGATGATGATAGTGGAGATGAAATCTTGGATGATGAACACATTCCATATCCTTTGACAGATGATGATGAAGACGAAAATCGGACAGAGGAAAGGCCATTCAACTTTGGTCCGGATGACATTTTGGCATTAGGGAAGACATTCAACAATGCTGAGGAGTTCAAGTATGCATGTCTCACTTATTCTCTGAAGACACAATATGATATCAAGATGTACAAATCATCTCAGAGCAGGCTTGGTGCAAAGTGCACAAAAGAAAAAGAAGAAAACTGTGCGTGGAGGGTCTATTGCTCTTTTGAGAAGAGCAAAAACAAGCTGATGATTAAGTACTACGATGGTAAACACGTTTGTGTAAGATCTGGATCGACGAAGCTTCTGAAGAGTGGTACCATTGCACAACTGTTTGAGGAAAGGTTAAGACTTAATCCAAAAATCAAGTCGCAGTTCATGGTTGATGAAATAAAAAGAGAGTACAATTTGAATGTTAGTGTGCATCAGTGTAGGAGAGCGAAGGCATCACTCGCAGCTGCAAAAAAGGCTAGCCATGAAGCTCATTTTGCTAGAATTTGGGATTACCAAGCTGAGGTACTTAGGTCAAATACAGGTTCAACAATGGAGATAGAGACCATTCCTGGTCCAGTGCCTGGAAGCAGACAAAGATTCTACCGGTTCTACATGTGTTTTGAGGTATTAAAAGCATCTTGGAAGGAATCATGTAGGCCTATAATCGGTTTAGATGCAGCATTGATGAAGTGGGATATTAAAGGCCAAATGTTGGGAGCAGTTGGTCGAGATGGTGATAACCGAATCTTTCCCATTGCTTGGGCAGTAGTTGATGTGGAAGATAATCCAAATTGGTTGTGGTTTGTGCAACTTCTGAATAAAGATTTGGCACTTGAAGATGGAGCTGACATTACCATCATCTCGGATAAACACAGGGTATGTGTCTAAGTTCTTTCTTTTTTTGGGTAATGGTTTATGGTTGTCTATGATTTTGCACTAAGTTCTTTCTTTTTTTTTTTGGTAATGGTTTAGGGTATTCTCAATGCAGTTCACACTGAGCTTCCTCGGGCTGAACATAGGATGTGTGCTAGACATATTGTGGAGAATTGGAAGAAGACCCATAAGGACATAAAGTTTGAGCGTTTGTTCTGGAAAATTGCTAGAAGTTATACTACTGGAGCCTTTGAGGATAACTTGGAAGCACTGAAGAAATACAATCAGGGTGCATATGATTCTCTACAAAGCACTGCACCAAAAACATGGTCTCGGGCATTCTTCAAGCTTGGTTCTTGTTGCAATGACAATTTGAATAACTTGTCTGAGTCCTTTAATCGAAATGTGAGGAGACAAGGAGGAAGCCGCTGCTGGATTTCTTAACTGAGGTTAGAAGGAAATGCATGGAAAGGAATGCAAAAAGAACTCTCTTAACAAAGAGGTGGAAGAAAAGATTCACTCCAAGAGCAGACAAAGAGATTGAGTTGAATAGGCAGAGAGCTAGAGAGTGCATTCGATACATGACAACAGGAGATTAGCATGAGATCGACTTCCATGGTACAGCATATAGTGTTCATATGGGGAATAAGACTTGTGGTTGTGGGTATTGGCAGTTGAATGGGATTCCATGTATGCATGCTATGTGTGTCATCACAACAAAGAAGCTAGACCTCAATGAATATGTGTCAGATTACTATCTGACTTCGAAGTGGCAGCAGCTATATGCAAGGGGAATGAAACCTGTTCAAGGGATGAAGTTGTGGCCTCGGTTGAACATGTTACCTGTTTTACCACCACCATCCAGATTTAAAGATGGAAGACCTAATCATTATGCTAGGAGAAAAAGTCTGCATGAATCTTCATCAAATCCGAACAAGGTAACACGACATGGTCGCATACCTAGTTGTTCAAACTGTAAAAAACAAGGACATAACAAAACAAGGTGTCCTAATCAAACTCCACCTCCTGAACCAAAAAGGAGAAGAGGTCGTCCAAGGAAAGACCAGGTTTGCTTTTTATACCCATTACCTTGTTTTTGGATCTGGTATGGTTTGTTTTAGGTACCCATTACCTTGTTTTGCTGTAGGGAGAATCACCTGGAGCAGGATGGGAAGCTTCTCAGTCATCACAAGTTGGAGCTTCTCAATCATCACAAGGAAGATTTGGTTTCTCTGATTAACTGAAGAAGGTCTTCTCTGTTTTTTTTTTTGCATTTCAGTTCGTTTTAGACTGAAAATATGTATCGGCTTTATGTTTTTATGAACCTCTTGTCATCAGCTTTATGTTTTTATGAACCTCTTGTCATCGGCTTTATGTTTTGTATGAACCTATGTATCAGCTACTCCTGATTTTGGTTAATTCTAATGGTGGAGATCTCTTGTTAAAATGTCTTTCTTCTCAACAAAAAACAGAGAAACAATAGATACAAGTATAGAAAAAGGAGACAATCCATACCAAAATCAATACAAACTTGTCTTACATAGAGATAAAGAGATAGAACTACTCCCATACAACTACTTTCTTAACACAAACCAACACACAAATTTGGTCTTACATAAAGGGAAAGAGATGCAAACTTTTTTACTTGTTACCAAATACAAGTGTGTTTCCTACACTTTTGTGAAACATGAGGTGATAATTGATCACACAAGCCAAAACACAAAGAAAAACAACAAGTACCAAGTTGTTCATTCTGAATTTGTGTAGCTCGGTTTTGCATTGAATGACTTGATCTTTCACATTTTCCATCTCAAGTTTCAGCTCATTTAGTCCGATTATGCCTTTCTCATTCTGGGATTCCCTTTGTAACAAGTCCATAACTTCTTCATACATCCCATCTTCGACCCATTTAAACAAATGCCCATTCTACACATAATGAAACAGATGTGTGTATCATCATAAACATGTTATTACTCTCAAGAACAAACCAAGAAGAAATCTCAAAATAAAAAACAAAAGTAGAGAGCAGAAGTAACTTACCTCTCTGGAAACAGCACAACGAAAGTAAGGACGTCCATGATTAGTTTTTGATCCTGATGTATAGATGGTAACATCACTTCCACACACACATTGTTTTGGAAATCCTTTTCTTCCATTAAAGAACCCAGACTTAGATGAACTCCCAAATTCATTTCCGCAGTATGAACTTTTCTCCTCCTACACTCAAGCGATTACAAATCCCTGAATTTTGTATTCTACTTACTCAAATTCATTTCCGCAGTATGAATCGACACTTACAGATTTCCCGTGGAAAACCGATGTCTTTGTAGATGAGTTTATATCCGTTTCTGTGCAAGCATTCTTGTTTCTCATGATGTTCTTCATGATTTCTCTGTCGGATTTTGAGCTTTCTCAATGAAATCGAACTCTGCTAATTTGCCAGAGTCAGGTTTGAAGCTTCACCGGAAATCGCCTTTGGTTTCTATTTGGAGCTTTTTAGGGTTCAAACTAATAAAATCCCGATGACAAAAATTAGAACGAGATTAATACTAACGACACCCGTTAAGAGAGTTAATTATTAACTTCATTAATCCCTAATTTACGTAATCAACGACAACTTGAAGAATTATTTTGCCACTCTAATAGTTGAATATTTTTTATGCCGATTTCAAATAGTTGAGGATTTAAATATGCAATTTCCCCTCTGTCCCACTACAAATTTTCTCTAACCGTTTCCTTTTTTTGTTAACAGTCACATGGAAGTTCCACTTTCTTCAACCTCTGCGAAGTCTCTCTGAAGACGACGGAGAGAGAGAGAGAGAGAGATTAACGATGGCGAGGAGTTACCGGTTTAGCTACCGGTTATGCCTAATCCTCCTCATAGCCTTCGAAACGGCACGGCGTTTGACTTCCGCCGATCCAAACGACGAGGCGTGTTTGAAAAATCTCCGGCAGAGCTTGGAGGATCCGGCGAGTAATCTCCGGAACTGGACTAACTCCGTCTTCTCCAATCCTTGCTCCGGCTTTACTTCTTACCTCCCTGGTGCTACCTGTAACAATGGCCGAATCTATAAACTATCTCTCACTAATCTCTCCCTTCGCGGCTCAATCTCTCCGTTTCTCTCCAACTGTACAAATCTCCAATCCCTAGATCTATCCTCGAATCAAATCGCCGGTGAGATCCCGCCGGAGATTCAGTTCCTCGTTAACCTCGCCGTGCTTAATCTCTCGTCAAATCGTCTCTCCGGCGAAATCCCCCCGCAGCTTGCTCTCTGCGCTTACCTCAACGTCATCGATCTCCACGATAACGAGCTCTCCGGCCCAATTCCGCAGCAGCTAGGACTCCTGGCGAGGTTATCGGCGTTCGATGTGTCGAACAACAAACTCTCCGGCCAGATTCCGACGTATTTGTCGAACAGGACCGGGAATTTCCCGAGGTTTAATTCGAGCTCGTTCGTAGGGAACAAAGGATTGTATGGGTATCCGTTGCAGGAGATGGTGAAGAGCAAAGGATTATCGGTGATGGCGATCGTTGGGATTGGGCTTGGGAGTGGAATCGCGAGCTTGATGATTAGCTTCACTGGTGTTTGTATTTGGTTGAGAATCACTGAGAAGAAGTTGGCTGAAGAAGAAGGCAAGATTAGTCAATCAATGCCTGATTACTAAAAAGTTAATCTCGATTATGGATTTTGCTTATAGTCTTATAATTAGTTTAATCACGGCTTCGAAACAAGAAGAAGTAGAAGATTCACGAATTTCTTGGTGTGTGTGAGTTTTTTTGGTCTATTCTTTCTTTTGGGATTTTCCCTCTATTTTTTTTTTTGGGTTTTTGAAAACAAAAAATTACTACTTATTGTGCTTCACTTCTATTTTAAGGAATGAGAAAATTTTGTAACTTGGTTATATCATCGAAGATGAAGCAAAAACTGTTTATAGCATATAAGATAAGGTATGTTATTTCATTATTGAATATTGAGAAATATTTATACATTAGAGAATGTGAATAAATAGATAAATCAAATCGAAATTATATATTCTTGGTAACGGATACTGCGGTATCAGTGAGAGACAAGTGGACCCGATACTGATTTGGTTACGTTCATGCCAGTGGATTTGTCAGATAGATGAAACGGTGCGTTTTGTATTTTAAAATAGAAAAATAATACAGCTCTTTCTTTTACGATTGATGATCATCATCTCCACTCTACATGATGGCCGTCTCATGATTATGTTTTGAATTCTTTTAAAAAGTATGGTATATCTTTCTTATTATCCGCTTAGAGCTTTTATAAAATTCTCTGTGCATTTTAGTTACAAATTTTCTATATGTAGAGAGTTTTAAGTTCTTTATTACTAGATGAAAAAATGAAAAAAATACGCAACTCCAATTCGTTTTCTAAACAAGTACCGGTTTTCGATTTAATAAACCGGGTGTACCGGTTAGCACCAACCTAACTTCTCATCCAGCTGCAACCACGTTGCTTCATAGCTCCAAGCATGTTCATGGCTTCTCTGGTCTCTTCTGCTTCTTTCCACAAACCAGACCCTGCGTAAATGTTCGCCATCTGAACATAAACCGATGGATCATTCTTCTCTTGCTCCATTAATAACCTAGCAACCATCTTCCCCAACTTCAAATCTCCATGAGCAGCACAAGCACTAAACAAAGCCCACCACACATCAACACGAGACCCGATGCTCTTCTCGCTCATCTTCACCAAGCTTTCCGCTTCATCGAGGTAACCAGCTCGACCAAAAAGATCAACTAAGCAAGAGAAATGATCCACATTTGGTACCACGCCGTGAAATTCCACCATTGAGTTAAAAATCTCGAGTCCCTCATTCACTAAACCGGCGTGGCTGCAAGCAGAGAGAACCGCTGTGAAAGTGGCTGCATCTGGATCCACTTTTCCTTCATCTTGCATCGTCTTGTAGGTAAGAATCGCGTTCTCTCCTTCCCCGTGTCTTGCGTACGCAGAGATCATAGAGTTCCATGACACAACGTCTTTTTGTGACATCTGATTGAACACTTCAAGAGACTTTTGTATAGTCCCGCATTGAGAGTACATGTTTATGAGGGCATTACCTATCAATGTCTCATTGACTTGCCCGTGTCTGAAGGCATAAGCGTGAGTCTGCTTCCCGAGAATCAAAGACGAAATGTTTACGCAAATGCTCAAAAGAGTGCTAAGAGTATAAGCATCAGGTAAGACTAGGACCTCTGATTCTAGCAAGCTAGAGAATCTTTTCAAACTTTCAAAGGGAAACCCGTTATTGTAAAACCCTGAGAGTATCGCATTCCATGAGATTAGATTCTTCTTCGTAGTTCTTTCGAATATTAGGTCCGCTTTCGCCATCTCTCCATGCTTGGAGTATGCAGATATCAACGCGTTGGAAATTTCGATCTTTGAACTAAGCCCAAGTTTGATTCCACACACTTGAATCATCTCTAAGCTATCTAAACCCAGAGAGCTTGTTAAAAGACTTCCGAAAGTAAACTCATCCGGTTTAACTCCTATTCTTTGCATTTGCTTGTATAACGACATCGCAGACGCACCCAATTTCGCTTGGTTATAACCCGAGATCATTGTATTCCAAGTAACCAAATCTTTCTCTTTCAATGATTCGAAAACCTTACGAGCTGCACCAGAATCCTCAAACAAAGAATACATTGTCATTGTGGCATTGCTGACCAATGTATAGTCTTCATACCCAGTCTTGATTGCTAGTCCATGTACTTGGCGTCCCATAGCAGCACATGAAGACAAACTCATAACACTAACAAAGGTCAGATCGTTTGGTCTAAGACCAGCTTCTAGCATTTGTCTAAATACCATTAAAGACTCTTCCTTTTGGAAACCAGCCAAACCATCAATCACCACATTAAAAGTGACCTGATCACGAACAGCAACATCAGCTTCTTCAAACAAAAGGCGAGCACTAACAGCGATTTGGCAATTGAAATACATTGTAATGAGAGCATTAACAACAGACGATGCAACCAAAAACCCAGCTTTTATAACCAGCGAGTGCACCTGCTTACCGAAATCCAAAGAACCATAGTAACACATACTCAAAACAGTAGAGAATCCGAATTTGTCATGTCGAACACCAAGCTTGTGCATTTCTCGAAACAACTCGATACTCGTTCCGTGATGGCCACTTTCTTTGCAACCAGTGATCATAGCGTTCCAAACCGCAACATCATCTCTCTCAGGCATTTTATCGAACACCTCAAAGGCAAACTCGATATCACCAAGCTTAAAACTTGCGCTGAGAAGCGTAGTCCATGAATAAACATCAGGTTCCTTTATCTCTTCGAAAGTCCTCTTCAATGAAACCAAGTCCCCTGATCTCGCATAGAGCGAGAGAAGCGTATTGGAGACGTGAGAGTGACACAATATACCCGAGCGAATCGCATAGCAATGTACCTGGCCACCAAAGATGGTATCACGAAGGTGCCCAGCGGCAGTGATTGCAGACGAGACACTGTAATGGTCTGGTCTCAGAGTTGTGCAACGGTGAACATCGGCGAAGAGCTTGAGAGCGTTTCTGTTCTCGCCGGAGCGAGTGAGACCGGTTAGTCGGCGGTTGAGATTGCTCAAAATAGTTGACTTTTCGGCTTTGGCTGAGAAACCCTCTGAAAAACATAGAGCTTTTCTCATCAGTCATCTATAAGCTCGATTTTGTTGTTGTTGAAGAAGTCGCCTCTTTTAGCCTTTTAAGGCTTTTCCTTTTCATATGCGAAACCAGAGGAGTCATTCATTGAGAAAAGGAGAAAACTTTACAAGACGTAAACGTCGTCGTTTAGAGTGAGAAAGAGAGTGAGAGATGCGTAGATTCTCTACCATAGTCGATCGTTTGATCAGCAAACGCTATATTCTCTTACCAACCTCTCAAGGAACTTCACGAATCGATTTCATCTGCAAAAGGTTTCACATTTCTAAAGTTCTCAAATACGATTTCGTGGAGTCGGCGGAGAGGATCAACGGGGCTGGTTTAGTTTGTCCAGAGAAGAGGCAGCAGGAGGATGAATTCGCCGGTGACGTCGAGAAGATATACAGAATCCTGCGGAATTACCATTCTAGGGTTCCGAAGCTGGAGCTTGTTCTTCACGAATCCGGCATCAATCTGCGACCCGGGTTAATCGTGCGAGTGCTGAGTCGGTGTGGCGATGCTGGGAATCTAGGTTACAGATTCTTTCTCTGGGCAGCGAAGCAACCTGGTTACTGTCACAGCTACGAAGTGTGCAAATCGATGGTGAAGATTCTTAGTAAAATGCGGCAATTCGGAGCGGTTTGGGCATTAATCGAAGAGATGAGGAAAGAGAATCCGCAGTTGATTGAGCCGGAATTGTTCGTTGTACTGATGAGGAGGTTTGCTTCTGCTAATATGGTGAAGAAAGCAGTAGAAGTGCTCGACGAAATGCCTAAGTATGGTATAGAGCCTGACGAGTATATCTTCGGCTGCTTGTTAGACGCCTTGTGTAAGAACGGTAGTGTTAAGGATGCTTCAAAGCTTTTCGAGGATATGAGAGACAAGTTTCCTCCGAATCTTCGGTATTTCACTTCGTTGTTGTATGGTTGGTGCAGGGAAGGGAAGTTGATAGAAGCTAAACATGTTTTGGTTCAGATGAAGGAAGCAGGGCTTGAGCCAGACATTGTGGTTTTCACAAACTTGCTAAGTGGGTATGCTCATGCTGGTAAAATGGCGGATGCTTATGATCTTATGAAGGATATGAGAAGGAGAGGTTATGAGCCGAATGCTAATTGCTACACGGTTTTGATCCAGGCGTTGTGTAAGATGGAGAAGAGAATGGATGAGGCCATGAGGGTTTTTGTTGAGATGGAAAGGTATGGTTGTGAGGCTGATATAGTGACTTACACCGCACTGATAAGTGGGTTTTGCAAATGGGGAATGATCGATAAAGGTTATAGTGTTTTAGATGATATGAGGAAGAAAGGAGTTATGCCGTTGCAAGTAACTTATATGCAGATAATGGTGGCTCATGAGAAGAAAGAACAATTTGAAGAGTGTTTGGATTTGATTGAGAAGATGAAGCAAAATGGTTGTCTTCCTGATCTTCTCATTTACAATGTAGTGATCAGATTGGCCTGCAAGTTAGGAGAAGTGAAAGAAGCTGTTCGGTTATGGAATGAAATGGAAGCTAATGGTTTAAGCCCTGGAGTTGATACGTTTGTTATTATGATCAACGGATTTGCAAGCCAAGGTTGTCTAATCGAAGCCTGCGATCACTTTAAAGAAATGGTAAGCCGAGGAATATTCTCTGCGCCTCATTATGGAACGTTGAAGATATTGCTGAATACTCTTGTTAGAGATGATAAGCTGGAAATGGCGAAAGACGTTTGGAGTTGCTTATCAAACAAAAGCTCTTCTTGTGAGCTGAATGTATCAGCTTGGACGATATGGATCCATGCTTTGTTCGCGAGAGGTCATGTGAAGGAGGCATGTTCGTATTGTCTGGATATGATGGAGATGGACTTGATGCCGCAGCCTGATACTTATGCGAAACTTATGAAAGGATTGAATAAACTGTATAATAGGACGATCGCTGCAGAGATAACAGAGAAAGTGAGGAAGATGGCAAGTGAGAGAGAGATGAGTTTTAAGATGTATAAGAGGAGAGGTGAGGAGGATTTGATTGAGAAAGCTAAACCTAAAGGGAATAAAGAAGGGAAGAAGAAGAAGACAGCTCATCTTCATAAGCATAAATGGAGAGGTGAACCAAGTAGAGCTAAAGCATTGTAACATTATTTATTACCTCAAAAGAAGCAGCTTTAGATTTATAGCTATATCAAACAGTGTTCATGTTTTTTGCTTTGTTTCATGACGTCAGTTTGATCTTGTTGTTCTTTTTGTCTCTTAGCTAAGAGTGAACAACATGTAGTTGCAGGTTTTTCTCTCAATGAACTTGTATTATTAAATACCGAACGAGTAAACCGCAAATTATTCGGTTTGATTCGATCTCAGACAAACAAACCGATCCAAACCAAAGAACCGAAAGCTGAGATTTTCAACGACTACAAACGAGAAGAGAAGCAGTGTTTCAAGGCAATGAACAGATTTGATCTTCTGCAGTTCTGCAGATGTCGCGCTTTGATAGAATCACATAACCTTTTGATCAAGTAAGGTCCCTTTTGTAATCGTTAAGCGAGTGAAATCTCTCAGTCAAAAGCTTCAAATTTCTTCAATTTGACTCAGAGTATCGTCGTTTGGATCGTCTCTCGATGTTGAAGACACTGTCTCTAGCTCGTGACCGTCTTAGGTCCAAAGCACCATTATCGTCTTCTCCTACTTCGTCTTCTTTTACCTTTCGTGTCCTCTCTTCTCCGTTTTCTTCGAAGCGGCATGCGCCCAAGGCGAGTAAAGAAGAAGAGCCGCCTTTAAAAGAATCCGTTTTGCTGTACCCGAAAGATCCGTCGAGCACACCTAAGCTCTTCCTTGTCCAGCCTCGTCTTTCGCCGCCTAAGTTTCTGCAGGCGAAGCTGAACGAAGCGCTCTGCCTCGCGAATTCGCTTGAAGAACAGAGACATGGGTACTTCGAATCTGATTTCTTCGACAAGGAATTGCCTTCTCATGTTGTTGTCCAAAACCCTGTTGCTAGATCGCCTAAAGCTCACGTAGGTCCGTTTGAATTTCTTCCAAGAACTTTAGGTGTATTAAGAATCATGCCTTCCAAGTGTTCGACGAGTTTCCTGAGAGACTGATGGGTAAAGTGGTTTTCAATTGTTAGATACTTATTTCGGGTCTGGGACTGTAGACAACATCAAGTGCCATCTAAATGCTGAAGATTCCAAGGCAAGCAGCTAAATTGCCGCTAAATATTTCACCAATATCAATCTCTGGTTTTTCTGTTACTACCTGTTATGGAAATTTTGATCATGTTGTTACAATCTCTTGATGCTTAGGAAGAAGTTGATGCTGTTTTTGTCAACGCCATTTTGTCAGCTGTTCAACAACGAAATTTGGAGGTAACGCTACAAAATCTGATATTTTTTTTTTTCCTTCTGTTAAAGCTAATGTTGTGTCTTTGCATTTGATTCTTCAGAGAATATGGGAAAAACCTGTACTAGACCGTGTAGGCCTTATAATCGAAATATTTAATGCTCATGCGCATACCAAGGAAGCAAAACTTCAGGTACTGTGACAGTAAAGATCCATCATTTACTTAATAGGAACGATTTATTTAATAGCTGTTTGGTTCATCCATTCACAGGCTGAGTTAGCAGCTCTGATGTACAAAAGGAGCAGGCTGGTTCGAGTGCGTGGTACTGATGGAAAACAGACTTTTGGGCAGTTTGGAGAAGCTGAAGTTGTTAGTGCCCGAGGGTGAATTTTCTCAACTTGATATTTATGTATACCCTTTACCTTTTTTTGAAATGCTGATGAAAAGTTTATTAAATCATTTTGCAGGAGAGCAGCAAGTAAGGGATCTGGTTTCGTAGGTGGTGCAGGAGAAACTGAGCTTCAGCTTCAGCGCCGAAGGTTAACCGAAATTATATTACATTTATAACTTAGAACACGGCTCTCTTCACTTTTATTCAATCTACGATCATAACAAAAACTTAATCTACCAGAATATCAGACCGGAAGCTTCGCTTGTTATCCCAAATTAAAGATGCCAGACGAACACGGCTATTGCAGCGAGCTGCGCGTAGGAGACAAGGTGGTTTAGAGGGTAAAAGTTTAGCCACCATTGCTGTCGTTGGTTACACCAATGCTGTAAGTGTTTGAATTTTACCCCCCAGGGAATCTAAGCCAGAGACCAACTGTTTTAATCTCCTTCCTGAATTTGTTTGTTGGTGCTTTTGTTAGGGAAAATCAACTCTGACAAGTGCTTTAACAAGGACTGCTCTCTACTGCAATGAGCGGTATAATACAAATGCTTTCAAACTATCTTAAACTGTCAAATTTAAAACTGAACTCTTACCTTTTGAATGCTTGGTCTGGCTTGTGCAGATTGTTTGCCACTTTAGATCCTACACTCAAAAGTGCCATCCTTCCTTCTCGGTAAGTTGTTTGATACACGTCAAGGATCATAATCATAACTTATTGGTACACAGGAACTACTATTGAACTGTATGAGTTGATTTTATCCAGAAGGAAAGTGCTTCTTAGTGACACTGTTGGATTCATATCAGATCTGCCTATACAGGTAATGAATACCTACTCTAATTCCATCTTTCATTTTCAAGTATTTTTTTACGTCCTTTTTATTGGCTCGTGGCTTTTTGTAGTTGGTGGAAGCATTTCAATCGACTTTGGAAGAAGTTGTAGAAGCTGATCTACTTCTGGTAAGTACTAAACGAAAAAAAAAAAAATCTAGTCTTGAGTTACATTTGAAGTGGAGAACTGTAGAAATCTTGGTCTTGATGTGATTCGTTCCTTGCAGCATGTAGTTGATTCAACGGCTCCAAATATCGAGGAGCATCGTTCAACAGTGTTTCATGTCCTTAATCAAATTGGAGTACCAGAAGAGAAGCTTAAAAATATGATTGAAGTCTGGAATAAAGTAAGATTTCAATAAACCATTTTAGCAAAGAAGCAACCCGCCTTTTTTCACACTGGGAATTTTTGTAGATTGATTATGAAGAAGAAGAAGAGCAAGTGGAAGACATGCATTATCTAGATGATGGCAAAGGAGAAGAAGAAGAAGAAGAAGCAGCTGAGTTAATCGACGGTTCAATAGCTGAAGAAACTTTGGAAGCATCTGAAGCAGCAGTTGAGGAAGACCAAATTGAAAACCAAGAAGATGACTCTGATGGATGGCTATTGTCTGATGAAAATGTCAGTGACTCTGAGCTCTGGAAAGTTCCAGAAGATGCTAAACTAGTTGCTGCACAGAAGAATGGACCAGATGTCAGAGTCTCTGCATTGACCGGAGTTGGTCTGAAGGAATTGATGTATCTTATTGATGAGAGATTGAAAGGTGAAGATGATAAGCTTAGGTCTCAGACAGTAGTTGAAAGGAGCGAGCTTCAGAGCCGTAAATGGAGACCACCTCGTAAAGATGATGAAGAGTTAGCCGTTGAACAATAGTTTTGTCTGTCAAATTGCTTCTGTTGAATTACAATGAAGTTGAGGACTTTGTGTATTTTCTTTTTAATAAAACAGAACTACAGAAGTGTATGCCGTTTACGTGTTAAAACGGCAAGAGGTTTGTTAAGAATTGTTAAATGGCCGTCAATGCGACGTCGTTTTCAGCACAGCGCGTCATAGCCATACGCGCTTATACGACGCGAGTATAAATACGTAGATAGCGATATTGCAGTGATAAAATTAACACACTTGCGAAGCTTCTTTCTTCTCCTTTAGTAAATTCAAGTGAGGTGTATAGAAGCTGTTAAAGGCGCATTTTCTCGGATCTGAGATCTTAGATCCCAAACCATTGTTTATTCTGTAACATTGATCCGAGGTCGATTTGCTCTCTTCTTCTCCATTTCTCCACGATTTGAATCCTCTTTTACGCTTATTGGGTTTCGTTCGTCTCGCGTGAATTCGTTTTTTTCTGTGAGTTGTTTCATGGATTTGTCGGTAATCTGATTTTGTTTCTGTTGATGAAATTCATTATTATTGGTGATGTTTTGGCTAAGATGTTGCTAAAATTTGGAGAACGATCGCAGCTAATTTGTGGTGGAAATTTGATTAGATTTCATGGATCTGTTTCTACCTTGATGAATGTGTAGGATCTCTGAATGGGAGAATTTACTAGATTTTTATTCGATTTTTGTGTTTGGTTTGCTTATGCTATTCAATGTTGAAATCATGGAGATTGAGAGTTGTTCTTTGTGTTCTATGGATGTTCAGTCTAAATAGGACATGGGTAAATCTAGTTATGTGTTTTTTTTTTTTGGCTTTGTAGGTCTATTGGCTTGAGCTTGTTGGGATCTTAGTAATGGCGAGAAGACAAGTAGGTTCAACTCGACGTGTAGGGGATGGTGGAAGCTTCCCATTTGCAGGAGCGTTGCACTCAAAGTCTCGATCGTCTCCATTATTATCTATTTGCCTTGTTCTTGTGGTATGACTTGTGTGCTTCATTGTAGTTCTTAAATGGATTTGCTTCATTGTTAATCTGAAAACTAATTGTTGTTCATCTGTTTCGTGTTTCAGGGGGCTTGCCTACTCATTGGTTATGCATACAGTGGTCCAGGTATGTATATGATCATAATCTTAGTCTATAATAGGTATTTCGTGTTTGTTAGAGCTCAAGTAGCGAGTTTTCTCATCGCCTTCACTCGTGTTCAAATACAGGTATCTTTAAAAGTGTCAAAGAAGTCAGCAAAGTTACAGGTGATCCTTTGTTCTCATCTTCGATACATGTGCTTAAGATATTCCAAAAATGCCTTCGTCTGCATTGAGTAACCTTATTAGCTTTTTTAAAGCTGTGCAAAGGCCTGACACTCGGATTTTGTTATGAATTCGCAGGTGACTATTCTTGCACATCAGAAGTCCAAAGAGCCATTCCTGTTCTTAAGAAGGCTTATGGAGATGGGATGCGCAAAGTCTTGCATGTGGGCCCTGAGACATGCTCAGTGGTTTCCAGTCTCTTGAAAGAAGAAGAGACTGAAGCATGGGGTGTTGAACCATATGACATCGAGGATGCAGATTCTCATTGCAAGAGTCTTGTGAGCAAAGGCCTTGTACGTGTGGCCGATATCAAGTTCCCTCTGCCCTACCGAGCAAAATCCTTCTCTCTTGTGATCGTGTCAGATGCTCTGGATTATCTCTCACCCAAGTACCTGAACAAGACCGTGCCTGAACTCGCGAGGGTAGCTTCAGATGGTGTTGTTCTTTTTGCAGGTATGTTGCCTAAAACTTGAGAATACTGTATAGATATTTCTTTCGAGTTTTGGTTTCTAACCATCTCAACTGTTCCAGGTCTCCCTGGTCAGCAGAGAGCTAAAGTTGCTGAACTATCTAAATTCGGTCGACCCGTAAGTTTACTAAACCTTGTTCTCCTGATTTATCATATATGAAACAGCCCTTCCCCATTTGTGTATAGTATAAGTGGCGTTAGCATAGTTTATATAGTTAGCTATTATCTCTTCATGATTCAGACTTCATGACTCTTGAATTATCAATCTTTCATAAAGTTATTCAAACAGAACGAGTACAAGACTTAATATCGGCTCTCTTTTTTTTTTTTTTTGCTTATTGGCAGGCTAAAATGCGTAGCGCATCGTGGTGGAACCGCTTTTTCGTCCAGACAAACTTAGAAGAAAACGAAGGACCAAGCAAGAAGTTTGAACAGGCTGTGTCCAAAGGATTATACAAACCAGCCTGCCAAGTCTTCCATCTCAAGCCATTACATTAAACCAGCCACCACCAAGCGCACTGTTCCACACTAAAAGCATATTCACACGTAGAGCCGCTCGCAAAAAACAAAACAAGAAAAAAGAAAAATAGCTTAAATCAATATTCTCCTTATATTTTGTAACAGGTCAGTTTTTTTTGTGCTTCCAATGTTGTATCCGTCAACACAATTGTTCCTATTCAATTAAATGATAATTATCACCAATAATCACTGCACGAACACTTGCCATCTTTGAAGCAATGGAACCTAAGAGTATCCCTTACAATGATCTCTCTACCAGCAACTGCAGACATAAACTTGATCGCATTGTGACAATCTCCACATATCCTAAGATTCTTCTTCACAACTATTTCCTCTCCTTCTCTTGTCGACATCAACCCAAAAGCCACCGCTAGCTTCTCGCTGTGATGTCCTAACCGTTTCTCTTCTTCTCCTTCCCCTGCCTCGTCCTCCTTCACCATTGCCCATTTCTTATCCATCACATACCCAGCTTTCTTCATCTTCTTCATCATCTCCTCTAAATACTCATAAACTTCCCTTATCATCGGGTGAGACCAATCTTCCGCTACAAACACATGCTCCTTCTTCTTCACTTCGATCCAACTACAACCCGGTTTTTTCCGTATCCTTTTCTCCCTCATCGATTTCCTCACAGCAGCCACATCTTCCCATTTGCCTGCATCTGCATACATGTTTGCTAGCATCACATACGGCGTTGCAGCTAATGGTTGCATCACCATAAGCTCATTAGCTGCTCTCTCCGCAAGAGCCATGTTTTTGTGTTTTCTACAAGCATTAAGCAACGCGGCCCAAGCAACAGAGCCTGGCTTAAACGGCATTGCATCTATGAATCTCTCTGCCTCTTCTAGCTTCCCTGCTCGTCCCAAAAGATCGATCATACAAGAATAGTGCTCAGCCTCTGGTTCGATCTTGAACGTTTCCTTCATGGTGTTGAAATATCTCTGCCCTTCGGCGACTTTACCAGAGTGTACACAAGCAGAAAGAACGGCTACAAAGGTTATCTTGTTAGGCGCAATACCCGAGTCTAGCATCTGTTGGTATAAAAGCAGAGCCTCTGTTACACGCCCGTGCTGCGCATAACCTTTGATCATACAATTGTAAGATACAACATTAAGCTCTGGCATACGATCAAACGCCCGCCTTGCGTCTTTCAGGTTTCCGTTCTTGCAATACAGCGAAATCAACGCGTTGTTCACAGAGATTCTATTCGAAGGGATGTGAGATTTAATCGCCAAGCCATGAATCTGCTTCCCTTGAGAAGAAGAGGAGAGACTTGAGGACGCACTTATGACACAGACAAAACTACAATCATCAGGTCTATGTCCAACACGTTGCATCTGTCTAAAACTCTTCACAGCTTCCTCAGAGAGTTCCTCGTTCAACGAATACCCAGAAATCATCGTGTTCCAGATAACCAAATCCGGAAATAGAATCTCTCGAAACACCTTCTCAGAGTCAGACATACCGTAACGACCTCCACATTTCGAGTATAAATCGATCAAACCACTTCCCACGTGCGAGTTCTGGTGAAATCCAGCCTTGATCAGCATACCGTGGAACTGACGGCCACCGATCAGATGATTCAAGCTCGTGAGAGCATTCAAAACACTCGACAATGTATACATATCGATCTTGAACCCTTTCAAGATCATTTCTTTATACAAAGCTAAGGCCTTTGCTCCTTCCTTGTGCTGCCCGTAAACCACAATCATCGAGTTCCACGAAACCTCGTCTCTTAACTCATCCATCACATAAAACACCGAAACCGCCTCTTTCAAAAACCCGTTTTTACTGTAATACGTAACGAATGCGTTATTCACAGACGAGTAAGAATCAAACCCTCCAGAGACAGAGAAGCAATGAAGCTGCTTTATCAAATCGACGCGGTCACAACAAGCTGCTATCAATCCTGATAACGTAAACCCATCAACCTCAAATCCCAATTCTCTCATCTTCTTGAAAAGTATCATCGCGGGAACAGTTTCTCTGGCATCAGCGTATCCCGAGATGAGGGTATTGTAGGAAATGGTGTCTGGCTGCGGAATTTCGTCGAACAGCTGTCGTGCGATGTGGATTTTCGAGTCTTTCGCGTAAGCTTTGACGATTACGTTGTAAGAGAAGACATTGGGTTCTTCGGTGGAGTCGAAGGCGGCTCGTGCGTAGGAAAGGCGACCACATTTGGAGTAGAGGTTTACGAAGTGGTTTGAGAGGTAAGTGGAAGAAGCTATAAGGGATTTCACGTAGAGCGCGTGAAGGGATTTTCCTGTGAAGAGATCTCTCTCCGCTACGCATTTCAGTAGAATGTATCGAAAAGATTTGAACGTCAATGGCGTATTGTTCATCTAAATAAATTACGAAGTGAATCTCTGAGATTTGTATCTCTGTTCTGTCTTGTCTGAAGAAGTCAGCTAAACAAGTCAAAGTTTGGGTTTTTAAGTTTCGTTGATTGATGTTGGGTTTGTTTCCGATTTAAGGCCCATTTATATCTTATGGGCTTATTTGATATCTAGAGTTTATTTAAAAATTTTAATTGAATGCAAAATTTATTCAAACAAAAAGATTTTTTTTGTTTTTAATGCGAATGGAGCTTAGCCGATTTCCAACATTTTTTAATTAGTGTAATAATAATAAGAAAAAAAAATACTTGTTTGTCAATAATTTAATAAGGAGTTCAATATATGCGTTGACTGATATCTTTCGGTTGTTTGGAAATTATCTGATGAAAACAAAAAGAAAAACAGATAACCGAAATATATGGAGTGAGGAATAATATAGCACATGTTATTGCATAACATTAATTTTTAGAGATGACGAACCAGTTGTTTGGCACAATCAATTTAAGCTATTAAAATCTTGTGATAACCCGAGGAAATGGCAGCGTTCCTTTATAATATTGCTGTTTGAAAATAATTAGATACGTTTAGGTGAGTGAATCCAAAATAATGCTGCCTGCACCAAATTGAATTAGTTCTAACAATTATCAAAAGTTTAGTAAAAAATGACGTGTTCTCTATCGCTCCAGCCGGCTCCATCTGGATGAACTCGAAGAACGTTTATCATTAATCGGAGAAAGTTTCCCACGCTAATCGAAATTTTAGAAATGGTTATGATGGTGGTTATTTGCAAAACTATGTGACATGACACACAAACCGAAGTAGAACTGACACATATATGATGACTAAATCTGAACTAAATTTTCGTTAACCGAAGTAGAACTGACATTTTTTTCATGAATCTCAACGCACTGAAATTCCTAACCACATAGCTAAAATTCATCCAAAAATGTAAATTTTCAGTGAGTAACGCAAAATCTGAAATTTGATGGCATATGGATACGATCATAGACCATTGAATTGGCAAGAGAAACCATGGTTCTGACTGAGAGAGATGGAGATGGATCAAACCACTCTTTCTTGGGTGTTATATGGTAAGATTACAACATGTGTCCATGATCCTTCTCATTTCGAGAAAAATGAGTGGAAGGAAAAGGAAACAACGGACTGACGGAGGGATCCGAATCAGACTTATATGCGAATGACATGCATCTACCCCAAAAAAAAAAAACAACTTGTATCAAAGTTCAGAAATCTCTTCTAATGCAAAGTAATGGAGCTCGTAATGCTAGACTTAAAACTTGTTACTAGTTAAGTTGATTTTTAATTTAGTTTGTCAAGTTGATAAAAAGAAACTACTAATTGTAAGGAAAAAGATTTCAGCAAGATTTGTAGAAGAATCAAATAACTTTATCTGTGTATAAACGACGATTCAATCCCAAAACTAAATAAAATCCTATCCGCCAACCATTTTTTTGTTTAATAAAAATTTGAGTGTGTAGTTGTAGTCTTGTAGAGATGGGTGAGATCTCATAATACGAACAGCTTGTTTTTTTTTTCGCATGTTCTTTAAATTGTTTTGTTTTTCTATGTCTGTCATACTGAATACTGGATAAATTCCTTTAGCAAAACAAAATTCGAGATAATTTAGTTATTTGACGAGTCAAATTTAGAATCGAATAACGAGCCCTGAAAATGTGGGACATTCAACGGCTGTACATAATGGTTTCAAGATCTTTCACCTGATTTTCTTGTTATGTTGTTTGGGCTGATTAATCGTCGTCTATTATTATATACGCTGAGCAAATTCCTTTTCTTACAGTATACAGTATACAGTTTACGTTTTTTTTTTTTTTTTTTGGCTTAGGGTAGCCAATTTTCAAAACATCCAACTCGCGCGATCTTGATATGTGTGTTCCATAATTAATTTAGACTAGATTCGAATTTTTTATTATTTAACGAATTTTGTAATATAATTTGTGTTTTTGAGTTTATATATAATTATTTTTATAAATATATTTTTTTAATAAGTAAAAATATTGATTTTTGTGTTTAGATATATTTTTAACCCGTCCGCTAATATTAATTCAAAATGAACTATTATAAAGATATAATTCTAATTTTTCCGTTCATATTACCGTATAATATAAATATTTGTTAAACGTTTGAGATGTATTAACTGTATTATTTAGCATTATAGTTTTCTAAAATTTAATCAACGAAAGAAGTGTACAACTGGTTTTTCAAACCACATTATAGTGTATGCAATAATTTTTAATTTTTTATGTTTTAATTTTGTATGAAAAATATATTTTCGATATACATGTATAATTCAAAATTAGTAATATTAGTTACCAAAATATTTTTAACCCGGTTTTTTATATATATATTTTAGTTCTATAAATTTTAAAAAATATATTTTTAATATTTAAATTATACATTTGAATTTTACCTATTATTTTATTATTAATTTGTAAATAAATCATAATCATAAATATATTATAAAAACAACATAAATATCATATCATTTACATCATTATAAATATTTTATATTTTAAATATGACCATTATTTTTCATATGTGAATTTTTTTTTCCAAAAATTCTAGATATTTTTGATAAAAATGTTTAATAGTATAGAAATTATTTAAATTAGAATCTTTAAATCAAATCTAAATTAATATCTGATTTATTATTTTTAATCAAATCAAATCAAATCTAAATTACCTATATTTAAAGAATTCTAAAAATATTTAAATTAATAACTAATTTTCGAAATTAAAGATAAATAATTATTGAAATTGTTTTTTAACACCTAAAACAAATTAGAAGTGTTTGGAAACAAAATACTAAATGTGATTCAGTTTTAATATAATAGATGCAGATATTATCCACAATAATAATTTAGATACGAATACGAATAATTACATTTGCATATTTGTGAGTATAGATTCAGATTCCAAACTTAGCATTCGTAATGTCTCTTTACGTATTTATAGCTCTACTCTAAATTCTAGTAATATTTTTAAAGAGTTGTAATAAATCAGTTCAATAAACGATTTGTTTAGCCATAATTATCATAAACATTTCAGATAGACAATAAATAATAATAAATTTATACTTTAGGTAACTTCCGAAATACAAGGTGAAAGCCCCTAAACACGCTAACAGGCCTACACATCAAATGTTAAAAAAAAAAAAAAAAGAACAGGCTAACACATCATCATGATAATCGATCAAAAAATAGATTTTGTATTGTTTTGGTCGCTAATGCATTGCAGCATTGTCATCATGTATGGTCGGTGACGGAAAATACGTTTCATGACAAATCATTTTTATTTTACTAAATCTGCTAACTATTTTTTTGGTTAAAAGTGTATAAGTTTTTGTAATCTCTTTAGCAATTAGTCTAATTTAAATTTCTTTCCAACAACTCAAAAAAAGGATGCATTCCATTGTAAAAACGTTTTTTTATTAATTTTACTTTCAATAAAAAGTGTATAAGTTATATGAAAAGTCATAACACTAAAACAACAATTGAAGACAATTTCAATAAATAGTATATTGATTAATTTCTTCTAGTTAAAATGGCTGTTTTATACTCCACTTTAGTATTCTGAATATTCTTTAATACCAAATCTTGATTTTTTTAATTTCATAATGACATTAAATGAAAACTGCTAAATTATTAGCTACGTCAAGTGAAAAACGGAAGCTGTCTCTCTCACATGGGGAAAACACAATGTATATATACCTCCCACATACCTCAAGCAGTCAAGCATCTACATTCCACATCTCACTCTTCACCAACTAACTAACTCTAATTAAAAATCTCTCTCTCTCACATACGATTTCTTCTTCTTCCTTCATTAATCATCTCTTATTAAATTAAACCATTTTTTTGTAACATAAACCATTTTTTTTTCATTCAAAATGAAACAACTGTCGACAAAAGTAACAAGCAATGCCCATGGACAAGACTCTTCCTACTTCTTGGGATGGGAAGAATACGAGAAGAATCCGTATGATGAAACCAAGAACCCTAATGGAATTATTCAAATGGGTCTTGCGGAAAATCAGGTAACTATATAACTTCGAGTTTTCGACCAATCGAAAAATAATTATTTTTGGTATTTAATATGATTTTTTTTCTATATGCAGCTATGTTTTGATCTCATAGAGACATGGTTAGCTAAGAACCCGGACGCAGCCGGACTCAAGAAGGACGGCCAATCCATTTTCAAAGAGCTTGCTCTCTTCCAAGACTATCATGGCCTACCCGAATTCAAGAAAGTAAGTAATTAGCATTTTCTCCTTTACATTTCAGTAAAAGTATAAAACTTAAAACCGCAAGTAACTTAATAAGGTTTATCTCTCCATATAGGCTTTGGCAGAATTCATGGAGGAAATAAGAGGAAACAGAGTAACATTTGATCCAACCAAGATTGTTCTAGCTGCTGGTTCAACTTCTGCCAACGAAACTCTCATGTTTTGTCTTGCGGAACCCGGCGACGCTTTTCTCTTACCCACTCCTTACTATCCAGGGTAATTCCTATACCCTAGTATTAATTAGGTTTTGAGGGATATTTTTACTTTCCTTGTATGCCAAGAAACCGGAGCTGACAGAATTCGATTTTTACAGATTTGATAGGGATCTGAAATGGAGAACAGGAGCAGAGATTGTGCCAATTCATTGTTCGAGCTCTAATGGGTTCCAAATAACAGAATCAGCTCTTCAACAAGCTTATCAACAAGCTCAGAAGCTTGATCTTAAGGTCAAAGGAGTTCTTGTCACCAACCCATCGAACCCACTTGGCACAATGTTGACCAAAAGAGAACTTAACCTTCTCGTTGACTTCATTACTTCCAAAAACATTCATCTCATAAGCGACGAGATCTATTCAGGTACCGTTTTTGGATTTGAACAATTCGTTAGTGTCATGGATGTCTTGAAAGACAAGAAACTCGAGAACAGTGAGGTCTCCAAAAGAGTTCATGTCGTTTATAGTCTTTCCAAAGATCTCGGTTTACCTGGTTTTCGCGTTGGAGCAATATACTCCAACGACGAAATGGTTGTTTCCGCTGCGACAAAAATGTCGAGTTTCGGCCTCGTCTCTTCTCAAACACAATACCTTCTCTCTGCTTTGCTTTCCGACAAGAAGTTCACAGGAACTTACCTCAACGAAAACCAGAAAAGACTCAAGATTCGTCAAAAGCAACTCGTGTCCGGTCTTGAAGCCGCAGGGGTTACTTGTCTTAAAAGCAACGCTGGTTTGTTTTGTTGGGTCGACATGAGGCATCTCTTGGACACAAACACATTCGAAGCAGAGCTTGAGCTATGGAAAAAGATTGTATACGAAGTGAAGCTGAATATTTCACCCGGTTCATCGTGCCATTGTACTGAACCGGGTTGGTTTAGGGTTTGTTTCGCCAACATGAGTGAAGAGACACTCGATTTGGCGATGAAGAGGCTCAAGGAATACGTAGAATCAACAGACAGTAGTAGAATGATTTCAAAAAGCAGCCATGAAAGGATCAGGAGTTTGAGGAAGAGGACTGTCTCTAACTGGGTTTTCCGGGTTTCATGGACCGACCGGGTACCTGATGAACGTTGAAATTCGTTTCATCGTCCCAAGTTCAAGGCACAAGAATCTTCCCATTTTATATAAATAATTCTTTTTTTATATTTTGGAAATTGGAAAATCTCCAAAATATTTATATCACTATATTCTTTTTATTTTCATATCACTATATTTTATTTATTTATTCATATATGTATGTTTCGGTGAGCATCTGTTGCAATTTTTTTTTTTTGTTTGGATGTAAGTGTTTCTCGTTATGTGCACTCATTCCAAATTTCGATTTGCAATGGCTATTTATATATATGTATTCCCTATTTCCCTTGTAATGTACTAATGTCAATGAAAGCTACGTGTGTAGTATTTGTTTTTTTTGAAAGAATGTTAAATTTATTCAAACAAAAAAAAAACGTTTTTACATCAATGATGTTTGCATGATTTGGAAGAAATTAAAATCGCATAAAGTATTACTAGCTATTCTTCAATTTGGTGATCTTGAGGTTATCCAAAGCTGGCAGCCGTCTTCATATTTGTTGTCCCCCAGTAGTCGAATGGAGTTGAATCTATTCTTCATGCCTTTGTCTATTCTCTTTGTCAGCTCATGTGGTGTTGTCGGGTGACGTCTACCATTCCGCTCACCCCAAACGTGGTAAAGAGTAATGTGGAACAAGTATTTGACTGTGAAATCTCGAATAAGATTCTGGTTTTGGTGAGTTAAGTAAGCTAGAATGTCTTCCCAGCTACTTGTAAAATCGTCTCCAAGAAGATCCTTCGCTAGGGTATTCCATACCTGTGATGTGTATGGACAATCAAAGAACAAGTGCTCTCTGCTTTCCAATGGATGAAGACAGAAGACACAAGAGGTATGTAGCTGTGTGCTCCAATGTAACATGCGGTCCCCAGTTGGTAATCGATTGAGGATTGTGATCCACTCATGAAACGCAAACTTTGGGGTATTGTGACGAAACCACACCACCTTACGCCAAGCTACATGTGGTCTTGGTTGTCGTATTTGTTCCCAAATTTTGCGAGTGCTGAATCGATGCTTAAACTCTCCAATGTTTTGTCTCCAGAGGACTATGTCGTCTTCCTCCGGCTGATATTGAAGTCGAGCCACCTCGATCTCCTCCTCAATCAAGTTGAAAATGGGAAAGCGATGCCGTCGTCTTCTGTGGGAACCAAGCGCTGTTGCAACCGTAGCTTTGGGGTTTAGTCCAAGGTCGATATAACCTCGTTCACCCGTTAGGTCCAGTAGTCTTCCCATTGAGCTCCAATGATCAAACCAGAAGTGGGTGGCTTTTCCATTGCGTACCTCAATTCGAACGAATTCCCTGGCTCTGTCTCTGATTTTTAGAATCTGTTTCCACATCCAGGAGCCTGGAGATGAACTAGTAGGGTCTTTAATAGCCCAAATGGAAGATCCTTGTAGGTAGTGAGAGTGAATCCATCGCACCCAGAATGATGCTTTAGCAGTCAAGATTTTCCAGAATAGCTTTAAAACACAAACGTCGTTTGCTTCTCGTAAACTTTTTAGACCCAGTCCTCCTTCTTTTTTTGGATAACAAATATCACTCCATGCTACCTTAGCCTTCTTAGTGTTGAGGTTGGGTCCAGACCACAAAAAAGCTGAGCAGATGCTTTCGATCTCATCAAGGCATCCCCTTGGAAGTCTATATGCCGAAATCCAGAAGTTTGTTAAACTTGATATCACCGACTTTAGTAATTGTAAACGTCCTGCAAAAGAGAGAAAACGAGCTGTCCAAGAATGAACTCTGCATCGGATTCCATCGATGAGGGGGGCATAATCAGCTTTTGTCATCTTTTTAGTTAGAAGAGGCAAGCCTAGATATCGAACTGGCAAAGTTCCTGAGACAAATGGCACGCTTGCAAGTGTTGTCGCTCTCAAATCCCCTGCAACACCAGCAAGATATACAGTCGATTTTTCTAAACTGACTTGAAGCCCAGACATTTTTGCGAACTCGTCGAAAACGGTGATTATTCCCTCTAACGACCCAAGACTTCCATCCGAGAAGACCATCAGATCATCAGCGAAACAGAGATGCGTAAGGTTCAAGCTCTTGCATTTAGGGTGATAGCCAATTCGTCGGTCTACAGCAGCTTTGTCTATCATTTTAGAGAGAACATTCATACAGATAACAAAGAGATATGGCGAAAGAGAGCATCCCTGCCGTAAACCTCGTTTGCTTCCAAAGTATCCAGCCAATTCCCCATTTACTTGAACAGAGAATGATGCAGTTGTCACACACAATTTAATCCAATGAATAAACTGTGTTGGGAAGTCAAGGGCTTTTAGAATGGTGAGTAAAAACTCCCATTGAACTGAGTCAAAAGCTTTGGAGATGTCAATCTTCATGGCACAACGAGGAGAAATAGATTCCTTGTGATAGTCTTTAACTAGCTCAGACGCTAATAGAAGATTCTCAATGAGGAGTCTATCTTTCACAAAGGCAGATTGATTTTGGGTTATGAACTGAGGTAGGATGAGCTTCAATCGATTTGCAATGATTTTGGAGATTACCTTGTATAACACATTACAGCAAGAGATTGGTATGTAATCCTTCATCTCTAAAGCTTCTTCTTTCTTTGGGATTAGTGCAAGAATAGTAGAATTGGCTCCTTTTGGTAAAAATCCTGTAGCAAAAAATGCCTAAATGCTTACCACGAAATCATTTCCTATAATTGGCCAAGCCTGTTTATAGAACTCTACTGTGTAGCTATCTGGTCCAGGTGATTTTCCACTCGCCATGGAGAATAAAACATCACGTATCTCCTTTCCTGTTACCTCCCTGATCAGAAAATCTTGGTCTAATGTCGAGCATTTGAAATTCAGCATCTCTGCTAATGTGTTTTCTTCCACCAGGTGAAATCTCGGATGTTCTCTATTCAGAAACTCCTCAAAGAATCTTGCTGCTTCGATTTTAATCTCTTCCTGACCCTTAACAATATCACCTGATGAAGTTCTGATTTCCCGAATTCCATTGCGAACTTGCCTTGCTTTAACAGCACAATGATAAGCCTTTGTACATCTATCTCCCACATTTAGCCAATGAAGTTTTGACTTTTGCTTCATATATCCTTCTTCCAACTTTGCAACATGTTCCCATCGGATGAAAGCTTCCTTTTCACTCTCTTGATTTGCTTGAGTGGGCATCAACATAGTCAACTCTTGTTTTTCGCATAATGTTGCAAATCTCTCCTTCACTTTAACTGATAAGTTGTTTAGGCTGTCTCTTGAGATTGTCCGAATCGGACCCTTTAAGTTCTTAAGCTTTTTTGTGAACCTGAATAATGCAGATGTCGATATGAAGAGGGGCTGTGTGTTTTCCCAAAAATTAGCTACCAGAGGTAGAAAACTTGGGAGCGAGGCAACTATATTCGCAAACTTGAAAGGTTTTTTCTTAATTGTCAGCTCTCCAGGCTTTAAATGAATTCGGCATCGAAGGTGATCTGAACACCCACCAGTCTCAAAAACACAATACGAAAAGGGAGAATTCATCAACCAAACATCATTGATCATCACCCTATCCAACTTTTTGCAAATTAGGTCATGTGATCTCTTATTTCCCCAAGTAAATAAGGGACCGTGGTAACTCATATCTGTTAGCCTGCAATCTCTTGCCAAGTACATACCTGTATCAGAGCCAATATATGTGTCAGAGTTAGAGCGTTCTTCTGCAGACATAATTTCGTTAAAATCCCCCATAATTACCCACTTTAGCTTTCGCAAAATAGGGGAACCAGAGTGGCTTCGCAAATCATCCCAAAGAGCTTTTCTCTCATCCTCTAAATTAGAGGCATAAACAAAAGAGCACAATATCTCTTCCTCATCAGCAGGCATCTTAACCAGCACCGTCACCAACTGAGAACTCTTGAAAACCGGAGTTACTCTGATCGTATCTTTCCACACAATCCAAATCCTACCTAATCGGTGATGTTCATAGTTATTCATAAATGACCAACCATGGAATACCGAAGATAGAATATCAGCCGACTTTACTTCCTTGACCCGAGTTTCTAAGAGCGCACCAAACTCGAATCCATTCTTCGCACACCAATCTCTAATTACACTATGCTTATTTACTTGGTTGAGTCCTCTGATATTCCAGAAGAAACTCGTCATTTGCGTTGATTACGGGATTTGCGGTTCTTCTTCTTTCCGGAGTTCTTCGTAGAAGAGTTCGGAGTAGAAGAAGTTTCTGTTACTGTCTGTTTCTTTCCTGCAGTTTTCGAAGCTCGAGGTAGAACTTCACGAGTTCCCAGCCCCTGTGAACTATCCACTGCGTCCTTTCGCCTACGCCGGTCAGGAGATTCAGCATCAACATCAATGTCAACAGCCTCAGTACCCTCCATCTGCGTGCTATCTGGAACATCCTCGTCCTCATCCGAGAGTGATAAGTAACGAGTAGTTGTGACAAGCTGAATATCGTCAGCAACTTTACCCTTCGAACGCCCGACCTTGTTTGGAGAGACGCTCTGCCATTCCTTGGGGACATCTTGTTTCTCCTTTGTTTTTGACACACTTGGTGATTCCTGCAGTTCACCCGAGGTTTTAGTCTGTGGCGTTTCTTTCTGAGCGTGAGTATCCGTGAGAGGGGTACTCTGTTTCGTGTCCAAGAGATTCACTGGAGCAACTGGTCCAGACAGCTTCTTCACTACTTCATTAGACTTAGGAGTCGTTGTTATCTTCAAAACAGAGTTATTGCGCAAGATCGCTTTTGACCCAGGCTCAGCGAGACAGTCCTTATTGCTATGTCCCCAGGTATTACACAACGTGCATCGTGGAGGAAGCCAAGGAAACTCAAAGTTAACACAAGCGTCCTTCCCATTCTTTAGTTTAAAACTGAACGACTCAGGAAGCTTCTTTGTCAAGTCAACTTCAACAAAAACTTTTGCTTCTTCAAAACTTTTTGCCCATATAGTATCTGGGTGAAGCTTTTTTGGAACTCCAAAAGGACTTGTTAGATAGCTCAACCCCACCCAAGAATAGAGAGACCGTGGCACATTTTTCAATGTAA